TTGTTGTTGATTGTTTGGACCTCTTTCTGTAGCTTTTGGGTTGTTAACAATGCTGTATCTATCTTGTTTGATCGTTCCTGCAGCGCTTTTCTGACTTCTTCCTTATTTTTCTCAACTCCATTGTAAAGTGTTTTGAAACATTTTATAATCATTTTTCTGAATTCTTTCTCAGGTATTTCCAAGACCTGCCCTCTTTCCAGCATGGAGAGAAGGTCTACTTCTGGTTCATTGTCTGAGATATTTTATCTTTTTTCTGGACATGTACCGATATGGTCATCTGCTTTTGCTTCGTGGACATGTTTAATGTTTATCTGTGGCCCTAATAATTAATTAAGTACATATTTTGGTAATGTTTTATGTTTTCTGATTGTCTCCAGGAAGATGTGATCAGGATGTGGCCTTCCCTTTTCACTCTTCTTATTGCTTAACTCAGAGTAACTTTTACAGGTGTTGTCTGTTTCCCTGGTTTATGGCAGCTGGTATTGGTTCTTGCCTGAGTTTTGGTGTTTTATAAAGTGTTATTGCAGCTTGGCTATTTGGCAGCAGTTGCTGACTCTTTTCGTGTAATGTAGGGGGACAAAGAGTCCTCCAATAGCAGAAGGGAGTCTATGTGACAGCCAAACAACACCAGCCGGGTAGAAAACAAAACCAAAATCAAAATCAAAAACAAAAGAGGAGTCCTCCGATAGCAGAAGGGAGGCTATGTGACAGTCATGCAACACCAGTTGGATAGAAAACAAAACCAAAAGCAAAATAAAAAACAAAAGCGATAATGAGAGAAAAACAAAGCAAAATGACAAAAAAAAAAAAAAAAAAAGATGGAGAAAAATAAAAGGAGTGTCAGAAGAAAGATAGGAAAAAAACGTAGCTTAATGTAAGTAAGTCTTTAATGTTCTACCTCTTTCGGTCCCTTCTGAGCTCTTCTCCTTGTTGGTATGCTGTGGAGTCAATAGTGACCCACAGTGACCCAGTATTGGGTTTCCAAGGAGCAGCTGGTGGGCTCGAACCACAGTCCTTGCAGTTCAAAAGGCTTTGCAGTCAGCCTCAGCAGGACTTCTTTGTTATTGGTGGTAAACAACTACTCAAGGTGTCTCAATTTGGGCTAGCCTGTGCTCTTGAATAAGGCAGGCTCTAATCACACAAAAAAATAAAAATAAAAGTAAATAAAGGGGGGAAGGGGTAGAAGAAAGAGAGCAAAAAAGCATAGCTTAATGTAAGTAAGTCTTTAGTGTCCTAACTCTCTTTCAGCCCCTTCTGAACTCTTTTCCTTGTTGATATGCTGTGGAGTTGATCATGACCCACAGCAACCCAGTATAGGGTTTCCAAAGGGCAGCTGGTGAGCTTGAATCACATTCCTGGCAGTTAAAAAGGCTTTGCAGTCTGGCGCATTAACCCACAGAACCACAGCAGGACTGCTTTGTTATTGGTGGTAAACAACTAGTTAAGGGCATCTCAGCTTGGGCTGGCCTGTGCCTTGATGGGCAGGCCTGAGGCTCAGAGGCTGGGCAGAGGGCTGGCCTAGGCCGAAGAAGTGGCAGGCGCGGGTAGTGGCTGCAGACAGATGGCGCGGCTGTGTCTGATGACGTCTAAAATGCCTGTCTCTGTCGCCCTGTGCCGTGAGCCCCCCAATTTGCCCTATATCCACGCCGACAATGCCCAACGTGACAATGAGGCCCCCCCTGGGATGGACCACACTAGTTCCTGTGGCTCTGCTAGCTCTCCAGGAGCATCCGCCCTCTGAACGGGTCTGCTCATGCCCTGCGCTCCAAAATAGTATTGCTGTTGTTAATTGCTATTGAGTCAGTTCCAACTGACAGCAACCCTGTATCGGGTTTCTGAGGACTGTCTGGTGGATTGAACTGCCAACCTTGAGATCCAGTGCTTTATCGTACACCACTAGGGCTTAAAATAATAAAGTTAAACTTGAAAAAAATGCCTATCAAATTTTAAATCTATAAAAAATTAAATATAAATGTTATTCAGTTCTAAGGAAGATATAAAAAAGCAGATACTAATGTTTAGGTACTATGTATATAAGTAAAAGTTGTTTGGATTGAAATTTTCAATCATCACAAAAATATAATGCATTTGCCATTACACTTTTGAGAAATGTCCAAGAGAGATACTCGAAAGTATTCATTAAGGTGCACATGAACGTCATACACTGTAGCATTATTTCTAAAGCCTAAACCTTAGAATTAATTTAAATATTCACTGGAAAAGTTAAAAGTTTATAAATAATAACTGTAGATATATTAATATAATACAACCAACTTTATAAAAATGAGACAGCTTTATAAGTCATTATAGACAATAATAACCAGGACATTTGCTTACATGAAAAGTTAATCTTGGGAATATGTTGTAGATCTTATTAAATACTTGTTTTACAAAGGTGATTAAGAGGAACTGACTAACTAAATTTGTTATTTTATCTGCAAAGAAAATTTAAATTGGCAACTGATTTACTCTAGGAGAAATTGGAGGACTTGTGGGACGAGATGAACCCATTTGTCCCTATGAGATGGAATTGACTTGATGGCACCTAACAACAACATCAACAATATAGGTTTTCCTGGAGTCCTGGTGGGGAGCTGGACTGATTCACTGCAAGGCTGTAGCTCAAATCCACTAGTCATTATGAGTTGGAACCAACTTGGCACACTAACGACAGGGTTTCTAAGAAGTAGCTGGTGGGTTTGAACTGCCAACCTTGTGATTAACAGTCCAGTGCTTTTTCTGCAGCACCACACCAGGACTCATATAGGACAAAGTCAAACAGCCCTATAACATATCCAAGGCTGCAAGCTGTATGGAAGCATACTACCTTATCGCTCTTTTGTGATTGGTAGGTCTGAATCACAGGTTTTCTGGTTAGCAGGTGAATGCTTAACCACTCATCATCAGATGTCCTTGTTTTATTAAACAAGAGGGATTGTTACATTTATGCACTTATCCTCATGTTATTTTTTAAATGTACAATGTATCTCACTTATTCTGAGAAAAATAATTAAAGCAAAAAAAGTACTCATAATAACCTCTAAAAATCTTTAACACAAATATCCAAACCCTTTATACTTTTTCTAACTCTCTCTTTCTTTCTTTGACAGCATCTCCATTTTTTCTTTGTTATTTCATTGCTGGAGCTATGGGAATCCGTTTCATTGTTATGGCATCACTATGGAGTATCATAGCCATAAATTGTAAGTGATAACAAAGAAGTAGCTAGAAGCTTTGTTGATTAACAATTGTAATATATTACTATTATTAATTCTCAAAAGCACAGTAACATAAACAAGCAAACTTGAATAAGTATTCTAATTATATTTTTCCAATTGATTTTAACATTTGTAAGCTAGTTTTGCCTGGACTTACATCACAAAACCTTTTAATTATTATGATTATTTTAATAGCTTTATTCAACCAAGAACCTACATTTTCTTTGAATGGTAAGTGGATATTTTCTAATATTTTGAAATATGAATTGTGTACATCTATTTATACTAGGGATCTTGGGTTGCCCAACTAGTTTGCAATTGTTTGTCAATATATATCTTGGAAGTTTGAGCCCACTCAATCACTCCCATGGAGAAAGACTTGATGAACTGCTTGTATAAAGATTAAAACCAAGAAAACCCTATAGAAGAGTTCTATTTTATAACACATAGAGTAAACCATGA